GGTGGAATAATAACAAATAAGAAAATTCTGAAGATCATATGCAATGAAGTAGGAAGAAGACATCAAGATAATCGTGCAATACAATGTGTCTTTTGCAAAGTAGTTATTGTTATTATTAGAAGTTGATATTTCCGGTAGTTTCAGGTGTGTGGTATAAAGCCATCTGTGTTTTAAAAGTCAGAGACTGACTTTAATGATTACATAACAAACACACAATCGAGTATAATACAATATAAATCGCTGCTTTGTTGCAAAACGTTTTGTTTCAGACATTTACATTTTATTTAGACAGTACATAAACATCAAAATGATAAAATATGGGAGTGAAACTGTATTCAAATGCATGAATATATTAGTAATTCATCACACTGCGTGTAGGGACTTCACTGTTCATACTATTCCACTATTTAAATATCCTTTGTTGTTTCCATGAACCAAGAATACAGTTGTACGTAATTTCTATCCATCCATGCGATGTTCAAATCAACCTGGTGAAGGGCGTCGTAGAATCCAGAAGCTGCTGGCGCCGGCATGTCGGCATAGGCTACTCCAAACATGGTCAACTGAAATGTACAAAATGGTTTTAATCACCTGATGTTCAATGACGTCTACAAAAACAAACCACCCGCCGTGACGCTCGAAGTTCTCTTGTTCCACTTTGCTGAACTGTGTGTGATATGCTAGGCATTTTATTGCCAATATATTGTGTTTTTTGTAACAACCAGAATACAATGAGAGTTTTTTTAACAAATATGTGAACATATTCAAATATTGACCAATCACACTAGTCCCTGGAAGTATAATAAACAACATTGTGACGTTACATAATTGTCCCGATCGGTGTTTATTTCACAGAACTACCCCCGTCGAGACAACCATTTTCTGCCCGACTGGTATTCTGACAATATAACGAACACGTTATTTGAATAAACCTCAATAAAATGACTCGGAAAGTTGTGGAATAGAACGCCTGTCATGAAACAGTAAATGTAAAGGAACACTTTGTTCCTCACCTCATTCTTGTCGCGTTGTGTGTTCATATCTTCAGAGAAACCCCACACTATATCGTACGAAGAAACGCCATCTCTGGCAAATGAAAAAAAACACGATTATTTTACAAAAAGAGTATTTCATAAAATACCTCTACTATAAAACAATCGGCTTACTTATGACGCTCTTGGCCAGTATTTCACTTTTTCACCGTTGTATCTTGAGATGTAATTTGTTGACGCTAATTCTATAAAAATGTTTATAAATAATTCTATAACACTATGTATGACTGTTCTAAAATGTTTCCAAAGTAAACTTTAATGCGGAGAGTTACTAGTAATCTGCCAGCTTCAGACTTACATAAGCAAGCAAGCAAGCAAACAAACAAACAAGAAAGCAAAAATCAAGCGAGCAAACGAGCAAACAAGCAAAAAGCAAGCAAGCAAGCAAACAATAAGCAAACAAACAAGCAAACAAACAAGCAAGCGAAAAACAAGCAAGCGAAAAACAAGCAAGCAAAATGCAAGCAAACCAAATACAATAGAAAATGTCTAATGACTTTGAGCAAACACGCAAGCAAACAAATATGCAAGTATGCAAGCAAGCAAACGAGTAAGTAGGTGCGCAAACCAGCAAGTGAACAGTAATTAGTGATTAGTAATGTTTCAATCATAATCTTCTGACATCTACAAGTTAAACCCACAGAGCGCTACGCATGCGTACAGTTTGTCTTACCTTTCCAAAAAATCAGCAAAATTGTCTTAGCGTATAAGACCAGGCGATTGGATAACCGATAGGTGAATTACTCCTGGCATTTTCAATCCCTTGACTTATCCATCCACCGGCATCGGAATATTCGATGTATCTATGGTGTACATAATGGTGTTAAGCCTACTTTCCTCCTCTGATCCATGAGTTATTGGGGGGACCAGAATTGTAATTGCATATTACAGTGTATGACATGGTGGGAGTGTGTACAAAACCTTGTAAACAGTCGCTGGGTTGGTGTGGCTTGTTAGCTGGTGTATATTTCTGGTAGCGGGCTTCGAATACGAACACAGCGTTCAGCACTATCAATGAGGTTTGATTGACAAACCTCATTGACGGTGCTGAACGTCACTTACATAAAAATTAAATTGAAAATTGCAATTGATATCACTGTGATGACGCATTGATTGTGGAATACGGATGAGTGTCCAAAGCATGCGCACTGCGTACAGAATATGCTAATAACCTTTAACGAGGTTATGACGTATCTCATGAATATTATTTGAAAGTTCAATTATTAATAGAAAGCATTTATTATGAAACGCCAGAATCACGTATATTCGGTTGACCCCAACTCTGCCCATTGTGGTAATTGGAAGACTGTAAACGCTTTCTATCATACTAAACTGGTCACCAAAATTAACAACTGTTTATGGCTTTTACACTGTAATCTGCATGAGCGTAAGCATAGGTTTCGATTGTATACAGCGCCACCAGTGGCTGTTCCCGGCTCTATGCTCTATGCGTCTAGCTGCGTACAACCCTTATAAATGTGTTGTGTTCAATGTTAGTTATATTACACATTATGCTCGATTGACCATCATTTCTGTCATCATGTCACCCGGCTGACTGATGAGTACAATATGTATGTGCGATGAATTTATGTACACTATCTTCCTACCTTGATAGAAGCCATGCTATCTGTGTGCATGCCATCGCAGACTGTAAGTGTAACTTGTCTAAGGCTGGCGTTGTTAGACTTTCATACATCTCCATCGCAAACTCCCACTCTCGCTCGTCTCCGTACCTGATAGCAGTACAGTACACCGTTGCCTTCGTATCATCTCTTATTCTGCAAATACAAATACATGAACACGTGTTCGCTACACTGTAATATTCCCTAGTTCATCATATTTACGTTGCGTTAATTATTAAACCATGTTTAATGCCGGTACTGGTGGGCATATACACTGGACACATCTCTACGTCTACCACGGCCCTGTGTTACGTGTATTACGTATATGTTCTATTCAACAAATTTCAATAAAATTAAAATTAATTAAAGCAATATAAAATAATATAAATGTCATAATTACACAAAATACCATTATTGAAACCAACACGAATTCAAATGAGACTATAGACACTTTGTCTGTCTAAAGCGAATCAATTGCAGTTATCGATCTTTGCTCGCGTGATACTTACGTGTTATCACTCGTGTTCATCCAGCTGCGATACTGCCGAAGCGATTCATTAATACAGTCTAAGTTACCATGACTACATGCAGTGTTGATAGCGTTTATTCTATTCATGCTGTGGCAAAAGTAAGGAATTGTTGGAAACTCGCAGCACGATGTTGTGCATGGCGAATGCATTTATTGAAAAAGACACGTATTTGTATCCTTCCTGGACGTGTGATTTGATATTTCACTACATGTCTGTATAAACAGACTAAAACAATACGCACCGATTCGTCTAGGACGTCGGATAAAACAATACGACATCAAACTTTCTCAGCAATATATAGTGTTACACAAATTTATGGTTAAATTGAATCTTCTTCTAAATGGATGTCAGAAAATTCAAAGTGAAATGACTTACTAAGGCAGATAATCGTCTGAAGTGAATCCCATCCTAGTGCATCGTACATAGGTGTGATCTGTCTTCTGACATATCTCTGAAATAAAAAAGGTTTTCATGTCGTCAAAGTTGTGGAAATCGAGTATAATGGTATTGCCAAAACGAGATAAAAAACATATCCGGTCCCACACAAAAATGTCATATATTGCATCATCGTCTCTGAGATTACCAAGGTGATAGATTGACGCCTATTTAATTTATGATCCGAGAATTGCATAATGGCGAAATCATTGTAATGCTAGATTTCGGAAATGACGATATAATGCAATCGTTTCATATCACGTGTATGCAATATACATGGATAACTTCCGGTCACCTTGGCCGTGGATGCATTTTCAGCGTCGTTTACGAAGCATGTGTTCCAGGCTAAATATTCGAAGTTGTGTTATCGCAGGGAACGGTACAAATATATAAATACATAGAATATATATTTATATATTTACGGTTGGCAGGTGACGTTTAAAGCACATAAACTAGCGTGCATATCATTGTTACAATAGCAGATTCTGTAACAATACCATATTTGCACTTACTTCATAGTAGCCATACGACGTGGTTCTCTTTAACATTCGTTTCGTGGTTTCAATGTTATCTGTGAGCGCCCTCCACGGATTGTAATCCGATTCCTCCTGCATATACTCCGTTATTTTCCAGGCAATCACTTGGTCCAACTGATGTCCATGGGATATAGTAAAAGAATCCGATATAAGGGCCGTACGACTTCTGACTGGGATCACCTAAACAATGTTAAAATGTAATATGTTATTAAAATAATTTTTCCCTGGCAATTTCATTCATTGCATCTCGTGTTGCATTATTTGAATGAAACTTAAATCGCATCATGATTTAGTTT